CACACACACAAATAAAAATTAAAAAAAAAAAAAAGGAAGTCACCAAAGAGTGAAGAGATAACCCTTCATAAGGGCAAAAAATATTTGCTAACTATTCCTAAGACAAAGGATTACTATCAATATATAAAGAGAGGCTGGGGAAGATAGTTCATTAGAATAAGTGCTTGCCTGGCAAGCACAAGGGCCTGAGTTCAACTCCAGTTCTGCCAAAGAAAACAAAAAAGAATATATAAAGAACTCAAAAAAATTAGGCCTACCAAATTTATTTATTTATTTTTTAGATCTCCCAGATTTAAAGACCCAGTCCCAAAATTGGCATGTGAGATGAATATACACTTAACAGATGAAATTCAAAGTATTCATATAGACCTGTTTACTTTTATAAATAGGAAAATATATTTCAAGTTATATTATCTAGGGCTGGTGAGATAGCTCAGAGGACTAAGCACCTACTTTGGCAAGCACAGGGACCCATGCTCCCAGGGCATGCTGAGCTGGTGAATGAGTCTGGGCATGGTGGTGCACCCCTGTAATCCCAGCAGTGGGGAGGCTGAAAACAGGAGGATCTCTATGAATGGGGCCTGCATAATAATAAGACCCTGTACCAAATACATAAAATTAAAAATATATATATATTATCTAGAGTAGGGATTGGATATATTACTGTTAAGGACCAGGTAGTAACTATTTCAGATTTATCAGATTATATTGTCTTTGTTGTAATTATTTAACTCAGTTGTTATGAGATGAAAGCAAGTGAAGATAATGTGTTTAAAAAAAAAAAAAAAAAAGCAACAGAAGCCTGGTGTGGTGGTGCATACCTGAAATCATAACACTTGGGAGACTGAGGCAGGAGGATCACTGTGAGTTCAAGGACAGTCTGATCTACATTGCAAGACCCTGTCTCAAAAGAGAGAGGGAACAAGAGACCAAGAGACTTCATTTGAATAAAACTTTATAAAATCAGGTTGCAGGTCACATTTGGCCCTGTAGCCAAAAGTTTCTGACCTGTTTCAGAGCCATGTTTTGTAGATCCGAGTGTGCATTAGGATCATTTGAGGGCCAGGTGTGGTGTTCCCTGCCAGTATTTTCAGCTATTGTAGATCCTGAGGCAGGAGGATCACCAGTTCAAGGCAAATTAGCAAGACCTGGGCTCAGAATAAAGTAAAAAGGGTTGGGGTTATAGCTTAATGGCAGTTGCACAGCATGCTCGAAGACTTGAGTTGAATCCCTCGCATCACCAGAAGGAAAAAGATTATCATCTGAGGATATTAAAATAGAGAAAAAAAACAAAAAGCAAAAAACAAAAAAACCAGAGCAAAGCTAGGTTTGGTGCACAACTATAATCCTAGTACTCAGGAGGTGTAGGCAAAGAGGATCAAAGGTTTAAGTCCAACCAGAACGACATAGCAAGAGCTTGTCTTAAAAAAACAAACTGGGTGTGATTGTACATGCCTGTAATCCCAGCACTTGAGAAGCTGAGTCAAGAGGATTGTCATGAGTTTGAGGGAAGCCTGGGCCATATAGTGATTTCAAGGCCAGCTTAAACTACATAGGCTGTCTCAAACAAACAAACAAACCCCACAGTTGGAGCTGGGAGTGTTGGTGTGCTTCTCTAGTCTTAGCTACTCAGGAGACTGAGGCAGGAAAATTGCTTGAGCTCAGGATCTCACGACTAGCCCAAGCAACATTGAAAGACCCCTCTAAGCCAGATAGCTCAGGAGACTAAAGAATCTGCTTAGGCAGAGCTCAGTGGCTGGGATTCGATCCCCAGTGTGCTGTGCTGGCCCTACCCCTGGGGCACATTGAGATGGTGATTGAGATTGGGCATGGTGGCACGCGCCTCTAATCCCAGCACTTGAGAGGCTGAAGACAGGAGAGTCACCATGAGTCTCATCCATGTAGTGAGACGCTGTAGATCCTGCACTAAATACATTAAAAAAAAAAAAAAAAAAAAAACCCTCTGATAATAAAAACAACAAAAGAAAATTGCTGGGACCCACTCATTTTCTGATTCAGTAGTTCTGGGATGGAATGTGACAACTAGCTAATTTCTGTGTCTAACAGGTACGTAGGTAATGCTGAGAATCATAATTTTAAACTGTACAACGTGTTCCTACAAATGAATCCTGTTTTCCCTTGGATTTAACACTTATTGAGCATTGTTTTGTTTTGTTTTGGCGGAACCAGAGATTGAACTCAGGCCCTTGTGCTTGCCAGGGAAGCGCTTATTCCACTGAGCCATCTCCCTGGCCCCTGTTTTGTCTACTTATTATTAAAATTAAACCTAGAATGAGACCATTGCATTGTTTGGGGGTTTTTTTTTTTTGGTGGAACCGAGGATTGAACTCAGGCCCTTTTGCTTGCCAGGGAAGCACTTACTCTACTGAGCCATCTCCCCAGCCCCTGAGACCATTGCATTGTAATAAGAAATATTGAACTGGGGCCGGGGAGATGGCTCAGTAGGATAAGCACTTGACTGGCAAACGCAAGGATCTGAGTTCAATCCCCAGTTCTGCAAAAAAAAAGAAATACTGAACTAACTTATTTGTGGTAGGATAACTAACGATGCCAGAGAAGAAGAGATGGAGGAAAACCTGACTCAAGTGGGCAATATCCTGGGAAATCTAAAGAACATGGCGTTGGACATGGGCAATGAAATTGAAGCTCAAAATCGGCAAATAGAATCAATCACAAAAAAGGT